ACACTCACGCTTCATTATAAAATGCAGGCAAACAGGTAATTTACAATATCACTTAGCAAGTAAAAGAATCACCTGGTCTCTCAAGTTGAAATCTTCAGTGTACCAGCTAATATTAATATAGATCACTATCACATCTGTTCTACCATATTAAAAAAAAACATGAAATAGATTCCATGAATTAGGACTTCTGCTATCTGTAACATTAAGAACTTCGGACCAATATGGCAGCTCATGACTGTAATCCTAGCACGGCAGAGGCAGAGGCAGAAGCAGGCATATGTTAGTGAGAAGGAGGCCAGCCTGGTCTATAAAATGAGGTCTAGCCTTGCCAGGACTACATGGGGAATCCCTATCTCAAAACCAGATATACCAATTCCAAGTTTTGCATAAGCACCACTTTGAGAACCACTGTCCTGACTTTTCTTGCCTACTGAGGAGTGATACTCAACGGGTAACTTTACGACGGGAAGATGCCACTTTAAGGCGGTCTTTACTGAGCCAGGAGCCACGCTCTTCAGTCCGTGTCAGCGGTGTTTGCCCTTTCTCTGCCAAGGGAAGGGAGGAAGAGACAAAGAGCAGGGCAGCATCCAGGGCTAAATGTCAGGCTGTAGTTGTAAGTAACCCGGGGCTGTAGGTGCCAGTGATTTCTCAGCTAAGTTCATAGCTGTGAGGGCACATGACTGAAACTGATTAAAAGTCACGTGAAAACATCAGATTCCAACATGAAAAGAAAAACAAAAAAAAAAGCTGAAAGTTAACTGCAGAAATCACAGAGCAGAACAGTTATTAAAAGGAGGAATTCTGAATTCTGGAAACTGAAGGGTTTCTCTGGAGGCGGAGAGGTGCTTATGAGATTGATATTAAGTATATGTCTGGATTCACAGCCCCAGATGCTCAGACAGTGGAAACTGTCTTTTCTCTTTTAAATTATACTATTAGGTTCAAACCTTCATAAAACTCTACAATAATCTTAAGAGTTTTAAAGCTTTAACTCATCTTTAAATTCAGTTAGCTCTGTGGGTTTGTCAAGGGCCATGTGTCTTTGTGACCTGAGAACCAATATTCAGTCACTTCGGGAAGATAGGAGTTGAAGAGAAAGGGCAGTCACCAAGCTCCAGTGAAGAGGCCTTCACGCCTTCCTAACGGTTGTACTCGGTGGGCCAGCTCTCACCTGCCAACCGCCATGCTCTCTGGGGCAGTTTGGATCTGAGCACACATCCAGACAGGCAAGGGTCAATGGACTCTAAGCATTCCTAAGTCCATCATTTGAACAAAATAAGCGTCACATCACCCCAAAACTTTCCCGTTCCTGTGATTACTGTTCCCCACTGCCATTCAGAACTGACTTTCAGTTTTACTCGCCCCACAATCAGGAAGCAAGCTGGTAAAGTATTCATAATTCAAGAAAGGGTCATCTTGGAATGTTCACCTTAAACTGCAATTCTCAAACACTTACACTCTGAAGTATTAGTTTGGTATAAGCTGTATTTGTGGTTTATGACTCCAGAGGGCTTATGTATCTGACAAGGGCAGGGGCATTAAAATCTTTGCAGATACATTTTAGAAACAGTTTGCACACCGGACAGCTGCAAAGCAGTTACTAACCTTGTTTGGAACGGAGACAACACTAACATGGGTAGAACAAATGACACTGTCCATCAAAATGTTGGCAACTGTAAAATATTGGGCAAAAGTTTCCCCACACAGACATGAAAGCAAGAGAAAAACTATTTGGGGAGGATGAAGGCAACCAATGATGGAGAAGGGCAGGGAAGAGAAAGAAGGGACAATTAACGTAAGCAAGGTACACCGGTGTGTGAACTAGCATTATTTTGTATGCTAGGTAAGAAAATAAGACATAAAAGTGGATTAATCTCAATTATGCTAAGTACAAGACTTTAGGGAAAAGAATATATACTGCATGATGCCATTTTGCACAAGGATTTAAGAAACGGTGACTAGAAGAAGGACAGGCCGTGAGCCAGCGGTTGGCTGGGCGCTGCACAGCCGGCTGGGGAGGAACCACAGGGAGACTCAAGAGGAGACGAGGGTGACAGATGTGCTCATTGCCTTGGTTTGGGGAAAGGTTTCAAAGGATTATATGAATGTCAATAAACACATGTTTTACACACTAGTCTTTCCTGTGTGCCAAACATATCCCATTAAATAAGCTTCTAAACAGAAAGGGAAGGAAAAGTCATGGTCATAAGATGTGCAGGCGGTTGGCAGTTTATTCTCAAACCTGAACTAGACGTCAGTCTTGAAAGAAAAAGGCAGATAACATGCTTTTGCTACCATGAGCATCCTGCTACCATGAGTGTTCTGTCCCATCCCTTTCCTAATGAGACTGTGTGTGACATGAATGAATGTGCTCACAGGATTCTATGTAAAGAACTGTGTCACTGTTTGAAAGGTCTACATATATAGACAAGAGTTTCAAACTTCCGTCCACATGCACACTCCAATGACCTGGTGTTTTCTAGATGACTCAATTGCCGTGCAGCAGAATCAGGCATGGGCAAAAGATATATTTTAATAGCAAATCAACCAATGGACTTAATATAAACTTGTATGAAAATCTCATTAATAGGGTTTTAGATTCCACAGTGCACCTCATCTTTAAGAAAATGGAGCAAAATCTACTTGGTAAGCTGGACTGAAAGATGATGCCCTACGGTAATCTGTGGATACTGGGAACCACTTTCCTCCATCTGTCCAGTCATACGGCAGAGCTGACCGCCATACGGCAGAGTTTATCCAGGAGACCTGACCTCATCATCTCAAGTCCCCATCTGGTAAGGAAAATGTAAATTGGAGAGATTTAACACCCATGAAGTATCTGGCATGCCAATCATGACATAAAGATGCACAGACTGTGAGGGAACTGAGACACAGAATGAGGGCCCCAGGCAGTACAGAGCAGGAGTCTGCCCAGACCTGAGCAATCCTCACAGTAGACTAGTCCCCAAAGTCCCCAGGTCAGAGCACAGCTTCACATTCAACGTAGGCCTGAGAAAATGCAGTCAAGGTTCAACTTCTTTCTAATGGACACTACAGTGAGGTAACAAATGAGTTACTTTCAGCTCCCAGACTACTGAAGTTTGTTATGAGCTGCACACTTGTCAATTCAAAGTGGGCATCGAGTGGATTGAGTCGTACTGCTGAGTTTTATCACATGAGTGGAAAGTGCTTGACAAAAAGGAAACAAGAAAGCAAACTAAAACACTGACCAAATAAACCACGTAAATTTCACAAAGGGGAATGCTTTACAGTCATGCCAAGAGATAGGTAGATGTGATTTTGAAATAGTAACATCACCACAAGTTACATGAACAGAGTCAAGAAAAGAGCCATACCATGGCACAGAGAGACCACCGGCCCACCGAGCGCCGGCCCACCGACTAGCAGGTGTCTACTTTCATAATAGGTACAAAGCAGCAGACAGACTTGTCACCGCATTGCTGTGAAGTGCCTGGCTCGTGTACACAGCTGTCTTTGGGTGTATTCAGCTTATGTTTGCTATCTGAACCTTGCACACAAGTGAACGACTATTACCTTTCTTCAAGTTTCGTCTGGCTCCCAAGTCGTCCTGGTAATATTTCTTACTAACCAAGGGCTTCATCTGCACCCACACAAATGTCAGCATGTTTTTATGCATAAACATCCTATTCTCATAATAACTAATGCAATTCAACTGTTCCTAAGTGTTTAGACTGTGCTCGTTTGTGTACAGATGAGCATAGAGTTCACCCAACACAAGACAGTGCCATTTTGATAAAGTTAGTAATAATCCATGTGTGCTGCAGTTAGGTTAACAGCTAGAGTACTTCAGTAGCAAGCAAAGTAGTGTGGTAATTCGGAACTCTAACCCGAGACAGCAAGAGCATTCTAGGCCATGTTTACCAGGGAATCTACAGCACTAGGTTTACTCTAGGGATTTAAGTTACAGTTACAAATAATGTTTATGTTCCTTTCAATTTCTTCTCTTAAAACACCAGAGGCAGGCACTAAAAGGGAAAAGCAATCCTATCAGTTATGAAGCACTGTAGATGGCATCAAGATCAAAGCTCTTCTCTCTACTTGTCCACAACTGGAAGAAAGATGACAAGAAAAACCTTAAACACACTGTGTCCGTTTAAGGTCGTCCATGTTTGTTGCTACAAGTTGTTGGCGAACTAGAAGCAGGAGTGTGTAAGGGGTACGGTTTGGTTTTTTTTCCGCCCGCCACCGCTGGTCTGGTCTCGCCACCGCGCCAGCCCCAATTAACACAGAGACTCTGTATATGACAGAATTTTGTTGGCCATTTACTAGTTTCTTATCGGCTAGCTCTATTTAATTGTTAACCCCTTTCTATGTATTTCCACGTGGTCTTACCAGTGAGAGGTAGCTGGTGGTTCTAGTCTCTCCAGACTCTCCATGTTGAACCCTTCTTACTACTTCCTCTCTCCTCCTTGTCTCCTAGTCCCTCCTATCTTGTTTTCCTATTGGCCAACAGTGCTTCATTCATTAAACCAGTATGAGAAACATATACAGAATGACATCTCCCATCAGGAGTGTGCCAGGAGCATTTCCAGACAGCTCACCCTCGCATTAGCCTGGCCAAAGCAGCACTTAATCCACAAGGGACCGCAAAGCACCATGACAATTTAGCCAGAAACAGAATGTGTGGAGGTGGACTGTGAAATGACACACACAGATGCAGTATAGGGTGTCACTTGCAGTGCCGTCAAGTCACACTAATGCTCACTATGGTGAGCACTCTCCACACGCAATCGCTACATGCTAACTACCCGCTAACAAGTCTGTCTCAAGAAATGTTGCCTGACGCTTTCTGGAAAACAGAAAAAAATATTGAGTATATATGCAGGCTTTGTTATCACAAAAATGTTATGCAAAACTCCTTGGAAACATTACAATGAAATATCAGAGACTGAATGTAAAAATAAAACATGATATTAAGATGTCATTCAAGTAAAACTCTCAAATAGCAATAGCATTACCTGGGACTAGTTCCATAATGATGTAGACAGGCTGTCTCTGTGTGCACACGCCTATAAGTTTCACAATATTGGGGTGATCATATTGCTTGAGAATTCTAGATGAGAAAAAAAGTACATAAGGTTATCAGTTAAATAAAACAATGATTTAATTTCTGATACATAAACCAATATGTGCAATTATAATAAATTTTAATCAGAACTCAATTTTTAAAATATCCGTATGACTTGAAATTCTGATGAGATGCAAATCAACAGTTATTGATAAATATGGACAGCATAGCCCAAGTACAGATGAGTTGATTGTCCTAAATAATTCATTTAAAAATTTGTGCCCACACTGATGTTTAATAACAGATTAATTAGGAATGCCACATGGAATTCGCTTCAAAACATCTAGCCATCCTCAAATCAGTCCCCCTGGCAAATGCTACAGACATCACAGGACGTTCCAGATGCAGGAACAAGATTTTAAAGAACTGGGCTGACCAAAGCTGTGGCCAAATAAGAGCTTCCACATGGACTGAGGCCGAGGCGGTGTGGAGTTACTTTGGATAAATAATATTTCAGTAGAGGTGACATGTTAAGAAACAATCCTTAGCAGAGCTTCAAGCATGGGCTAAAACTAGAATAAATCCCTTAGATGCTTTTTTTTATCCTATGGGGAAATTTCCACATTCTTCCCTATGAAAATGAAAAGAATAGAAAAATAAGAAACATATTGTGTGCATACACTGATACAGAAGGACAAATTCTTAAAAAAAAAAAAAACCTTATGTTTAAAACAATGATTTATGAATGAAAATTAGGAAAAAACGCCAGAGATAAAGAAAATACTGTCAACGACATAGCAAAATTTCTAATAGAAATTCAGTCAGCTTTCAAGAATATATACTTACGTATATAAATATGTATATCATAGACATGTAAATATAATAAAAGGTATAAACAGGATATGTATTTAATGTTTTATTGCAAATATAACTACAGCACTACATATGAACATGTATGTGAGGTAAAATAAAAATTGTTGTGGTATTTTTAAGGACTTAGAGAGTAGTTACGCTGCTGATGTCCCATTGCTAGCAAGCCTGCTTAACTGCGCTCCAGGCTAGCTCAAGCCAGAAACTGTTCCCACACCATGAAAATGGTCACTCCAGAAAGTTCCAAAGGTACTGACTTCTACTTCAGCAAATCAAAGCTTAGGAGATGTTCTGAAACTTACCTTGTGGTAAATGCAATGAATTATAAACACACATTTTATATTGTTTCAAAGAACTCACTTGGCTTCCTGTAGAAACTTTATTTTTAATTCCTGTGGAAGATCTTCCTTGCACGTTTTAACAGCGACAGCAGTTTTATCCTTTAGTGTGCCCTTGTACACCTCACCAAAATTCCCCTGGAAAGAATAATACAAGCATGGTTGGCATGGCTGACAGCTAAAAACTGGAAAGTATAAAACAAAGCACTCCGAGTTAACCAAAGCACTGCTGTTGACTGCAGACTGGGTTGTAGCGAGTATGGGCACCTCCTCCACAGTCCCACAGGTTAGTCTTCGCTACAGCAAACTGCCTTTATTAATGCTTGGCTTCAACAGAAGGGGAACCCAACGTCAACCCTGCCTTGAACAGGAGGTTTTCTTCCAGCTACTTTATCCTTTGAGCACTGTATTTTGTTACATTAAAGATCACCATGGTTAAAGATAAAGCAGAGCCTGAGAGGGGACAGCTGGCATGGACCCTAACAATCACGTGTGCTGTAGAAACAGGTGTGGATCCGGGTGCAAAGGGGGTTTCCTCAAGTGTCAGTGTCACCAATGGTGAACAGGCACGGACACGCTAACCTTGCTCTTAGCTCTAGCATCTTGTTGGTATAGATGCCTTACAGTCAATGCATTTAGGAAGAGAAGGAAGCCACACTACAGGAAAGATCAACATGACTAACATTTCTCAAAGAGCTAGTTTTTCAGGGTTCTCTTAGGTTCTTATTACTGGCGGTAAACTCTCCCCTCCGTCCTTAAACTTGCCAGCTTTGAGACTGTCCTTCGGCTCTTTCCACAGGGGGCAGGCTCCCTCCGTCTTACTTTCTCCTCTTAGTTTCTAAGGCATAATGGAAGGTCCTGGTTCTCTGCCTTCCTAATTGGTTCGTTTTTTTAACTTCCTTTGAGGACTGCTTTTGCTTCCCCGAGCCTCTTGGTGCCGGAATGACCAGGCTCAGTTCTTTATCTAGGCCCCTCTTCTTCATCCTGTTTAACCTCAGCACTTGTTACTCAACTGGCTTTCCTCGCTGTCTTGTAAAAATCTAATAGATAAAGTTGATATATTACACACCTTCAATTGTGTTTCCAGAACCCTGCTACACGTGGAGCTGGCTTGTATATCCGTTTCTCTCAATCCCTACAACGTGTTACCTCCTGGCTGCAGCCCTGTCCTGGCATTGCTCTGAACTTCCCTCCTAAGGCCCAGAGCCACCCTCGCAAAGTGCAATTACCACCAGCTCCACATTCCCTTCGCGATCAGTTAAAGGTGTCAGGAGGTCATCAGGCCCTATGTAATGTGCATGCCTGCCATCTTGTTGACTTGCCTTCCTATGGCTCCCTTTGCTTGTTCCACAGAACTTCCGCAGGTGAGCTCTGCCCTGGCTACTCGCTCTGCCTAATCCTCACTGATGGCTATAGCTGTCCACAGGGCTCAGCAGTGTTTCTGGCAAGTTTTAACCCTAAGATGACCAGTAGTGAGGTCTGCCTGTTCCTATAAGAAGGGCAATGCTGACTAACAAGCATCCTAATATGGATATCTGAATTTTACCTTATTTTTCATGGTGCATCATGAAGCTAAATCCAAGTCAAATTTTACTCAGAAACGTCCACAATTAAGTCACTGAACAAACTTCACTAGAACTCGAATAATGATGATTGGCAGATCTGTCAAGTGTAGACTAGCCCGCCTTTGCTGTTAGAAATGATGCATTTTCATAGGGACTAGGACTTAGAGGAAACATCCAACTAGAATGCAGGCCAAACGACTTCACTCTGTGAGACTTGTCCTTTGCCACCACTAACGGAGCCAGTTACAAAGCAGGTACTTGAAATGAAACATATCTTGCCCCCAATGAACTTATATTACTTCCCCGGCCCCATCTCTCCTGGGGGGGGGGGGAGGCACATGCTCAGTAGCCGGCTCTCTCCTTATACCTTGTAGGCTCCTGGTACTGAACTCAGGTGGCCGGTTTGGTGGCAAGCGCCTCTGTCCCTACCCCATGTCCCCGGCCCGCGCCCACATTATATCTACATTACGATAATGTAGTCTTACGAACTTTCCTGCTGTTCTGAAAAGCAACACCTTGCCTTCCCAAGTCATGGAATAACTGGGAACACAGTGACGCCGCGCACACTTTCACTACCTCAAGGCTTCTTTCCTTCATTCAATAGTTTTTGGCTTTAATAAAAGCATCATGGCTTTGGCCTTCCAGGAAAAATATACACTGTTTTCAAAGATAAGAATCATCATAAGCCTTTCTATGATTATCAGGCTATCTCCACCCCATGCCGTGGTGCATGTATTAAAAACTCTTTGCACAGCAATATGAGGTGCTCCTGGCAAATATAAATGTTTCTTATTTGCTGATTGCATACCTTGCCCAGTAATGCTCCCAATGAAACATCTTCATGATTGAGAATCCATTTCTTATCCTAAAGCAAAAAGACAGAAAAAGACAAATTGTTGATCCATGCAAGAATACAGTTACTGTAAATGCCTTTGAGGAAGTTAATGCAGTCAAGAGCACAGCACGCTAAGAGGCTGTAACTTCAGCATGATACAAAATAGATCTGAGATGTTAAAAATCAACAATGCAACACAACTCAGAAACTGCAGCTTCCAAACGATGCTGGACCAACCTATAAGTAACACACGGGGTGGGCTTTGCACCTACCACAAAGCCATGCCTACGCTACTGGCTTTGTAAAATGTCGGGTTATAATACATCACACAGTTTCTCGTTAGTGTGAAAATTTTCCAATTCTCATTTATGTTCAAAGGCATTCTCTTCCATGAACCACACTCCTAAGAGTTACTTCTACACATGCAAACATTAGGACTTACAGCCTTCTGTAACACTGCCCATACATAGTCTATCTTTCCCAGCCCTTCCTATGGGCTAACAAAGCCACACGCATCAAGGACATGCAAGACCAGGGATTTAACAAGCACCGTAAAATGGTGTCACCCTGTCTGAGCTCTGGAACCAACTACCGTGAAGGGAGTATGCAAAAACATGTAGCTGCAGAATCACACAGAACCATAATGCCAGAATGGTAAATAGGTCCATTTTAAAAGAAGGAAGAAAAAGAAAGTGAGGAGTAGGTTGGAGTGGAAAGAAAGGAAATGGAAAATGGAGACAAGTGGGGGACAAGAGGCAGAAGCCGACTTCAATATTTTAATCATTTTGGTTTTTTACTTTATAGTACAATTTCTCCATTAGACAGAAACATAATCATGACCTATAGTATGAGTCATAATAGGTAATCAAATACATTGGAGTAAAACTGTAAGTGGCTTTAAGATGTCCTTCAACAGTGACATGAAGTCCTTCACCTTTAGAAACACCATGTGACATTCACCCATCACCTTGACAGACAGGTTACCCAAAGTGCAGCTTACATAATAACTCCATGTGAATGTTAAGCTAAAGCAATGGAGATTAAGAGGCAATATGAAGAGGCCATGGGAGGGAACCAACAGGCAGCGTTGGAACGCAAGGAACACAGCTGGCGGCTGGCAAAGCCATGCCTCAGTGAGCCTTGGAGAGGAAAAGCCTGAGGACTGTGTCCTGAGTGCCTCATGCTGTCGGTGAGCATAGCTCTGTTACTGCCCCTGTGGTCAGTGAGTCCCCCATAACTCTGACCTGTACAGCTTCTGTAGCGTGTGTCACTGAGGGGCAGTCTCAGTGCTAGGCCCAGGCTTGCCCCTCTGCCCCTCTGCCCCATCTTGCAGATGAGACGTGAGCTCTCAGCTACTGCCCCAGCACACATCCTATCCACCTGCTGCAGGGTCCCACCATGATGATCACGGGTGAGCCATCTGACACTGTAAGCAAGCCCCCAGTTAAATGGTTTACTTTATAAGCTGCCTTGGTCATGTTGCCTCCTCACAGCAACAGGACTGTAACTGAGACATAAGGCGTCTCTAGCAACTAAAGCTTAGAAATAATTTCCCAATACACTCAGAAACTAAACAACACACATCTACATCCATACATTTATTTTTTAAGGTCATGGAAAATTAGGTAAAACTTAACCAAAAAATATGGAAATTTATCAGAAATTGTGGGGTATAGTTAAAACACCGTTTGAAGGGAAGTTTGTAATATACCATAGGCATATTTCGAAACAACAGAGTGCTCATGCCAATGACTAAGATATCCATTCACCTTAAAGACGAAGCGAAAAGAAAACCCAATGCTAGGGAAAGCAGTACAAAGCACAACAGAGATCAGTAATAACCCTTAAAGGCTGCAAAGCAATAGAGAGCTGTGTGGAAACAGGAGACTCAGTGCGTGGCCAGCTCTGTCTCCGCTCACAGTGAAGACAGTCAACTCCCTGCAGCTCCCAGAAGCATCAGGGAAACCTTGTCTACTCTCAGAGTGCTTTCTCTCTTCTGACTATGCTGCATTCCATCGCTGCCTGGACCTCCAGTGCCGGGACATTCCTGCACTAAGGGTACTACTCTCCTCTATAAAACAGCAAGGGGACTCTCCATCCTCTTGTTTCACAAACCATTTCTGAGCCCTGCGATTCTCAACAACGACAGTAGGATTTTAGAAAAAAAAAAAAAAAAAAAAAAAAAAAAAAAAGATCACTACAATACAGAGTAACACTCTACCTTACCAACTACGCAAATGTAAGCTAAACTGTTCCAATGTTACAAGGCTTATTACAGTGAGCGTTTATCAATGGATTCTAGTACCAGAGACACAAAGTCTGCATCTCCTGTGTCTACCACACAACAGTGTACCACACCTTTGAAGACAACATGGGTTTTCTGGGGATTGTTCAACATTTCTCCTTATAGTTTTCAAATATCAAGCATTCAGAACATTTTGGAAGGATATATAGTAAACATTAAGTGTATCTTTTGGTGTGTGGATATATTATGCATAATATATGATCAAAATTCAGACAATGGGAGTTTCCATTTAGCCAAACCCTGAGAGAACATAACCATGGTTAATCTCCAACTGTGGGGCTGAACAAATAAATGGCCACCTCGTGACACATGGCTGACAATAAGCAGGGGTTGTGATTATTACTTTAATGGCAAATGTTTCAGTATTACATGAAAATAAATCAGTGAATCAGAGATCCGTATGCCTTTGCATCCTGAGTGCTGGAATTGAGCATGCCCTCTACCACGTTTGCCAACACTTGGGAGGGGAGGGTGGTTAGGGTGCATGTGAGAGGGCAGAGAGGATGAGAGGGAGGGAGGAAGGGAGGGAGAGAGGGAGGGGGAACTGGGATCGACATGTAAAATAATAAATTAAATGTAAAAAAATCAGTGAGTCATATTTTGAGTGGGCTTAAGAAAGGACAATGTAAGAGTGACTCTTCCGGGTTCTCTGCATTGTAATCATCACACTTTTACAACCAAGAGTTGGAAGGAAAGGTTTCTATCAGACACTCAAGAATTAAATAACGTGTTCCTAAACTGACTTCCTTAATTTTTCTATTGCTGTGTATTTAATGTTTCAGAAACGACTAATTTTTCTCATCTCTCAACAGAAGGTAACTACACACTCAACATGACTGATAATGATGAGTATCTGTGGCAGGGTTAATGCAAGTGTCCAGGAATATATTTATTGTGGAACACTTGGGAACTAGAAATTATGTACGTCAGTAATTCTAACTTGAAAGATATGAATTTACAATGTCCCTTCTAGTGGTCTGGTAGTAACCAGTATTTACTTGTACAACTCATTGTGAGCAAGAGGTGAATGGAAGGGTCAGCTCAGATGCGCCCCTCCCCCTCCTCTGAGAGACTAAGACAATTGAATACAGTTCTGTCAACTGTGTGAAGGGTGTGAAGGAGACACACTCTGTCTTTACTTTGGATTCTTCCATAAGTGGACTCAGACAAGGATCCAAATGCCAGCTATTAATTACATATATATTATGTAAACTTAATAAATTTAACATTTATTATATATTATATAATGACTTAATTCTATATTAATATGTAATAATGGCTTAATATAGAGAAGCACACATGGACAATTAAAAGTAAAATGAGTATAAATAAAATATAACTAAAAATAATATAAGTAACTGGACAGTTAGCTATTAATTCAAGTCCTAGTTACTTACTTTTTATGGCTGTGAGGAAATACCATGATCAAGGCAACTCTTTTTTAAAAAGGCATATAGTTTCAGAGTGCTCTAAAGAGAGACTGTCTTTATTGTTTCCATTCAGACATTTTTACTTAGAGACTCCTAAATAAAACGGCTCTTAATATCTTAAAATCCACCTGAATGTGCCGGATAACAGCTTCAAATTTGAGAGTGTGTGAAGACCAAACATGCAAATTATGCTAGAAACTGTCTCACTAACACAGACCATCCAAAGGCAGCTGCTCTCCCCCCCCCCCCCCCGGCCTCTCTCCCGTCCCAAAATTATTTAGTTAATTTGCTTGTTTTTCAAGACAGGGTTGCTCTGTGTAGTCCTGGAAATTCACTATGTAGACAGGCTGGCCTCCGACTCAAAGGGATGCGCCTGCCTCTGCCTACTGACTGCAGGGAATGAGGGTGCACGACACCACCGCCTGGCTGTTTATTTTTTCAGACGGAGTTTCACTGTGCAGTCTGGCCTAGAACTGACTATGAAGACCAGGCTGCCTATAAACTCAAGATCCACCCACCTCTGCTTCACAAGGGCAGGGATTAAAGGTGGGTGTTACCGTGTCTGGCCTGACAATATAATTTTCAACAATGAATTATTTCAATATATAGGATACTGAAAAGCTGCTAACAAAGTGAAATTTCCTAGGTTAAATTCAATATGCTCATTATTTATAGTCAAAAATTAAAACTAAATTTTGGATGTGATGAATCTTTATAAAACAAACTTTTAGGAAAAACAGTAATTAATTAAGAAAATATGGTTTCCCCCTCAAATTTAAAGGCAAGAAATGAAATCAATTCTTCTTACTTCACTTAAGAATTTCTCAGTCTTTTCTTAAAAAAAAAAAAAAAAAAAAAAAAAAAAAAAAACTTTAAGGACGCTGCAGTTAATTAGAAATCAGTTAAGTAAGCTAACCTCATCAACGCAGCCTAGAGCAAAACATGAAAATGCTACTTGCAGCAGAGCAGGACAGCCTACCCGGAAGAGAGACGGCCTGGTCCGACATCACTAACCCTACAAAGAGTAAGAAGAGCTGGAACTAAAAAGGGAGCGTGCACAACCCAGCAAGCAACCAAAGCCCCCAAAGCCTCTGCCTCCACAGCCTGGAACCCTCTTCACCAAGGAACAAGGAACGGTGTCTTAGAGTTACCCTAGGGAAACACCACCATCAAAAGCAAGTCAAGGACCAAAGTCTCACACTGTTCATCATCCAAGGAACTCAGGTAGGGCAGGAGCCTGGGACAGGAGCTGATGCAGAGGCCATGGAGGGCGCTGCTCACTGGCTTGTTCCTCG